GAGCTGCAACTGACCTTTGAACTCAGTTGCTTCCTATTCATTTGTAACCAGTTTGCATTGAAGTAACAGCTCCTAACTTTTCAGCAGAATTCCATTCTTATGCTGATAGCACGGACAATTCCATTAGAATGCACCTTCAGAGGCTTGATTCTACATACCTGATAGTTGTTACAATTTAACAGCTGTGTTCAATTTCTAATAGACAGTTTGATTTTCACGATGGAGGGAAGACACTGCTGGAATCAGGGAGAGGTCAGCAAATATCAAAAACTCAAGTGACCAGAGGGGCATCAGATCCTGCCAGTAGTCAAACAGTGACCAAAGGTTCTTACTCAGCCTCACCGAAGAGAAGATGTTTTTCAAATCTATTATTTCCTCAGCATTGAATGAACTGGAAATGAAAGCATGTGACACTGAGGAGCAGATGAAAGGGATAGAAAACATTTCCATACAGGCAGAGGACAAAGAGCACCAGCACAAAACGTGGCAGCTAATGTAGTGTCAGTTCAGACTGGCAAAATGAGCACGATGTTTTGGAAGAGTCAGGCAGGAGTATCCATGTACAATTCCTAATGTTGGGAAATCTGTTCCTGACGGGACAGGCCTGACAATGGGAATCTAGGTCAATCAAAGCCAAATAGTACTGAGCCCATCAACAATTTAACTGGAATAAGACTTTCTCTGATTCCCGAAACCCAACTAACAAATCACCTTAGATTATGCCCATAGCATCATAGAGGGTTGAAGGCTCCTTGGTGTCAGGCACTTAGTGCCCAACTATAAAGGGTCTAGCCTCAGGAAAGGTAGGGTGAAGGGATGGCAGGAACAGGTCAAAGCCTTGCACCTTGCCTCAGCCCTCAACAGTAACCCTGCCCATTCTTATGTCTCCAAGGTGGACCTCCAGGACCCTTAATTGTGTGGGAGCCAGACAGTAGGTTAAATGTCTGAATGCAGTCAAATTGAATTAATTTTCTCCCAGACAGAAGTGACAGAGCGTTCTGTCAGCATTTCTTCAATCAGTGCAGAAAACCATGCAGCATCACTGGAACTAAATTTCACCCATGAAATAGTTCCATCCTGGATTTTCCAAATTCTTTTTTTCACGAAACCTTTTTTATGTATATACTCACCACCGAATCACCCACTTCACCCATTAAAAGAACAATTAACAATCACAGTGCTCAGAGGCAGTACAACAACAAAAATTGGGAAAACAGGAAAAGTGGAGGGAACTAAATTAAAGTGGAGTTGGAGGGAGAAATAATACACTCCAGCTCCTGCAGCACCCATCTCTCTCTAAATCCTCTATCTTGAGATAGCTTGACTTGACATAGTACAGGTTCATTCGCTTGTAGGATTCAAACACATTTGTTGCTACATTGATTGCAAATATACTGTAGCAGATGGCAGAGGTTTGCAGCTTGCTCACAGGACTTTTCCATATTTCTCTTATGCTCAGTGTAAGTCTGGTAAGGCAGCCAGTAAAGCTACAATCAACTCAATCTGATGGTACATACTGTCAAGGGCACAGTGATTTAGAATTCATCCACCAATGGAACACAAGTTGTCCCCAAACTGAAGCCAAAGTTCCAACAGGTCAAGATAGGAAATAACCATGAATGACACTAGGTGCCTCGGATTCAAGGGCGAATCTATCATCCCTCCATAGTGACAGGTGCAGATTGTATTCTTTGTTTCTAAGCTGAAAGCCTAGCCAAACATTACCATAGGGAGAAAAAAATTTAAACCCTATTAATATAAAAATATTCTTCCTTCCTGCCAGTATTAATTGTTCCTCCCTTCATGGACCAGGGCTTCTCCTGAATTGAATGTCACCTGAACAAAAAATTGCAAGACAGACCCATCCTATTTAAAGTACTATTCTGAACAGACAATATTTGGAATTTAATTCTAGTCACTAGTGGTCAGGGATTAGCGATGAGAATCAATTTTTTTTTTACAAAAAGGCCTTTCTTAAAAAGTTTTTTTCTTAATTGGCTGAGTTTTGCTGATCCTTTCCAATAACCGTAGTTCAGTTGGTTTAGTTCAGTCATTAAGCTCTAAACAATGTTCAAAGTTGCAGAAAAGCCAGTTATCAAATACATTTTAGTCACATACTTTTTCTGTACTCATTATGAAGTGAAATATGCAAAAGGTAAATTAGTTCCAATTATTATTCCCTTTATTAAAAAAACATCATTTGAAAACTGGTGACAAACATAGAAAAGTGATTTTATTTCCTGAAGTAGTGGTGACAGACCGAAAGCTAGGCACCCTGGGCTTCAAAATGCACAGATATGCATTAGAACAAGAGAAAGCAGTCGATAAAAAAAAATGGTAAAGCAAAGACAGGATCCTCAAAAGGGGGTCTCTGAGGTACAGACAATGTGCAGATCTGTATGAAAGGATCATCCTTCTGTGGAGAGGCTGGATTTGGAATACTTTCCAAGTATGCTCCATGTGGATAATATGATCCACGTCCGTGGTGCTGATCCAGGTGTGGCTAGCATGACACCTAACAAGCAAGATATGTGGCCAAGTGATGGTGTCAAAGAAGTGGTAGCCCCAGAAGACATCACAAGAGCCGTCCTAAAAGGAAGCCACACAAGATGATGGAATACCTGTAATACAAGATAGCTGCATGGGAGGAGGCAGATTTCAGCTGGAAAAAAAACAAGGATACACTACTTTTTAAATCTCCCCATGTAGTCATTTTCTGAGATAAGGTGGTGTCTTGTTTTAGTATTTTTGACATTAATAAGTCTACATAATGTAAAGTTAATTGTAGCTTGAATCTTGAATGGAATGTAGATTTGAATCTTGCTGAAAAGTGTGTTGCTGGAGCTTTCTCTTTTACACTCATCAGGGCAAAAGCAAGAATCCTTAAGTTTAAGATTTTTACAATTTATAGAATAGCAGTAAAGGGTGCCGACTGGCTGGCACGTTGGTTTTGGCCGAGGCATGGCAATGCAGAAAATAATGCAACAGGCTTCCCAAACTTGCAGGTTATTCATAAAATGCACAAGGCTTGAACATGTTTCACGTTTAAACATGTCAGAAGTGGATTTGTTACAAAATACTCCAGTTAGTTTTTTTGCCTACAAATGCAACACTAAAGACTTTGGCAAAGTATTCTGCTATTGTTAATTGCTTAAAATCAACTTTGAGACATGTATTCACCAATCACTTTGTTTGGCAACCAACTTCCTAATGGAATAACAGCCTGGCTAGGGCAATGGTGAAAAATGCTCTTGGAAACATTCAGCAGTTAACTGTAATGGGGAGGATGGAGGCCTCCTTCATCTGTATGTTTCTGTAACGAATGGCAGAACAAGTAATAAATAATTGTCAAGTCAGTCACAGCCACAGTATGATAGCAGGCTTGCAAATGCCAAAACTTGTCATCAACTGTGACTAATTAGCACTCTTGTCTCTGAGCAGATTGATGATGGTGACTGGTTAGCTCAGGTCACAAGAGCATGGTGCTAATAACACCAAGGTTGCAGGTTCAATCCTTTCACTGACAATATTGCTGGCTTCCATACCAGACTTTATAATTAAGTCTTGTGTAGTCCTAGTATCCCTACCTTTGGACCAGGAGGCCCAGGTTCAAGTCCTCTAGAGCAGTGTAATAACACCCCTGAACAGGTTGGTTAGAAAATATACTAATTAAGTCCTACTCCAGACGCTTAAATACAAAAATTACAGATGATACTCCCGTACTAAGAGAATGCTTTACTGTCCAAGTTTGCATCTTTTGGATGTGATATTTAACTGAAGTCCTGTCTGTCCTCTCAGATGGGTGTGAAAGATTATGTGGTACAATTCGAAAAATGGGAAAATTCTCAGTGTCCTGGCAATGGACTGAAAGGTCTGTTTCCATGCTGTTTGACTCTACGTACTTATCCTTCAATCAACATGCCAAAAACATTAAAACAAAAACATTATCTATCACATTGTTTGTGACTGCTTCCTACATACAAACTGGCTGCTAGGGTTTCTAATGCAATATGTCAAAAGTACTTCATTGGTTAAAATGCTTTGAGATATCCTGAGGTTCTACAATACAATATCCCTTAAAAACCACTATATAAATGCAAGTCATTGTGAAATAGCAGCTGGATCTATTTATGCAATTGGACTTTTGAGACAGCAATCATTCCAGATAATTCTCTGGTTAAAAGTCATACAGTGAACTCTTAGCACACTGACAAATAATCATGAGCAAAGAGAATCCAGTCCAAACCATTCAATCACAACAGAACACAGTAAGTGTTCTTCACTTCCAGATAAAAATGGTTACCAGAAATATACTCATTTTCAACAAACCAGCGTTGCTGCTCTTCTTGGGAAATTGAATAAAAATGAGTAAAATTAAAATGTTACAAAAGATTCCTTTATCTCTCACCAAAACAAACAAAACTGACTGAAATTAGATGCTTTACTTTAAAAGTCAGGATATTAAGCATATGTCAAAAAACACAACCAGCATCATGTCAAGTCTCAGTCATACAGCACAGAAGAGGCCCTTCTGCCCATTGATACCATGCTGACCTATCTACACTAATCCCACTTTCCAGCACTTGGGTCATAGACTTGAATGTTATGACAATGTGTGCTCATCCAAGTAATTTTAAAACGTTGTGAGGTTTCCCCCTCTACTACCCTCCCAAAACGTTTTACCTCAACGTTTTATCTCAAATCCCCTCTAAAACTGCTGCCTCGCACTTGAAAATTGTGCCCCTCATTATTGACTCTTCATCTAAGGGTAACAGCTGCTTCCTATCTAACCTGTCCATGCCCTTCAATCTTTCACACCTCTATCAGGTCCCTCTTCAATTTTCTCTGTTTCAAAGAAAACAACTCTAATTTTTATAACCTCTTTATAGAGAAAATGATTATTCTGCTTCTACGCTTCAGTCACCCACAGCCAGCCAGGAGTTTAGCAACACATGCCACAAGTTGTTTTATTGCATTTTATGCAAGTCATATATCGCGCTTACAGTTATACATTTATATAAGAAAAAAGTGGTCCATAGCAAGATACAAACTTCAGTATTACTTGTGCTGATCCCAGAACAAGTTTCCTTCTTAAATGGAACTTTCCATAGGCAATCGCATTAAATCATAGCAAAATTTCAAGGCACTTTCTTGTGCAGAATAAAGTTAGCAAAACTTAAATTTACTTTTCAATTTAACAGTTTTGAAATATAAAACATGCTCTACAATTAGGTTAATGTTTCTCCAACAGAAGGGGCCCATAGGGCATAAAGTTAACAATCCAAAGTATGTTGTATTAAATCATTCCAGTAAATAGGTCTTCATTATTGAATATCAGCATTAAATCTAAATTCCTTCAAGCTTGTGTGAAGGATTTGTCCCTTTACCTACAACTTTGTGGTGTACACTGAACTGAAAGGTTGTAAATGCAAGATATTCAAGATGGAATCAGATTGCTAAGTTGAAAACAGTCTTATAAACTAGTAAAACATTTGTGTTTTATCTGCTTTTAAAACCCTTTTCCTTTCACTACATATGACACCAGGTGTGAAACAAATGAAATTATACTCAGCAGCAAAATGTTGAATATGTCCTATGAACCTCTGTGACACCCTGTTTATTTGGTCCATCATAAACATATATGCCCTATATATCACCAGTTATTATCTATCACTCTTATCTACAAGAAGCCTGTTATGAGAGCTGTTACAGCTTCACCCTATCGCAAATGCTTAGTAACAGTATTGTTGTATTTTAAAGTTGTTCAAATGCCTTTGGTGTTTTATTGACATTCAAGAATACTCTAAATGTTAGCTGTTACCTTATGATTAAAGATTATAGTATTTATTCCTATACTCACTACACTTGGAAAATAAGACTAGTAAGTATTTTGAGATACATGGTGGTTGTGGAAGGTGCTATTGACGAAAGCTCTCAGTTTTGTCATAGATCTGTTTGTTTGATTGGAGGTAGGGATGTAAATATCTTTGAAGGTGGCCACCCTCAAGGCGGTTCGGCCTGGACTGTGGAAGCAGCAGCAATGGTTGCTGAACAGCCTTTCTCATTTCAAGATTTCTGATCAATTTTTGGTTATCTCAATTTTCTAGAAGGAATCCAAAAAATATATATTGTGTAGAACCTATTGTCCTGTGACAGTGTGATGGCTTGTCCACTTTCCACCACAATTGGTAAATTTGAAGAGGCTTGGGGGCAGCGAGCCAGCTCATATTCATCAACATTTTGTGGGAGAAAGGAAGTAAAAGAAGATTGAAAATAACTTGCAACAGTATATTAAGGCCAGATGCATGTAACTATCTGGGGAAGTGAGGCAAAAGAGAACAGTACTGAAAAGATTCTATGACAATTTGAAGTGGCTGGTAGTGCCTCTCCAACTTGATATATATACTAGGTACTGAATAGTTCATTGAGTAGCTTTCACAGCAACTTCATCTTACAGGCCAAATCTTATTCAGTCAAATTCTGCATAATATTCTCAATAATTGAACATTGTGAAACAACTACATGCAACATTCTTTTTGAATTGTGGATTTATGACCCCAATATGAGGAGAATAAACAAGGGTCAAGGACACCTGCTAGACAGGTGAGGGGAGAAACATGAGACTCACCCCTTTATGGCCTCCAAAGTACTGCAGCCAAACTAACAGAACATGTCTCAAAAGCCCATCAAGGGTGTATAGGAGAGCAACAGTGTGTGAAACACATGCAGGAGAGAGAGAGAGAGAGAGAGAGAGAGAGAGGACAGAAGGGCATGTGCATGTACAAGCATGTGCATGAGCATATGCAGGAAGCAGAGCTTATTAGGTCTCTCTCGAGCTCTGCTTCTTAATCAAAGTGGCAAAAAAGATTTTATTAGTTACCTCTGCTGCCTAACACTTATCAGTGGCCAATTTTGTTAGTTATTCATTCATTTAAATTGTTAATTTATTGCTTTGGACAATTTTTTCAAAATTCATATTTACTGTTATGCCTGCTCTTAAACGTAATCAGGGGACATATTTTAACGTGAGTAAAGTAAATAAACTTTCATATTGTACTACACTGCCTCGTGCATTAGTTCAAGCACAACTTTAAAATGTACGACTATGCAAATGAGCTTGACCAGAAACTTGAATTGTATATTCTCTTTCAAAAATTAGTCCAATTTTGACTGCAATCTGAACCAAAGTGGGAAGTCCAGTCCATGATATTTACAAGAACCACCACTAACATTGTATATTAAGAGGTCTCACATTTAAAATGGAGAGGAGGTCATTAGACTGTAGATGTGTCTTCAGAAAGCACTAGAGTGTGGTCACTGAATTTACCTGAATCAGATTAATACATTTTTGATCAACATGACAGTCATGGTTCTGAGGGGATGCAGACAGGAGGATGGAATGGACGCCACAATCAGATCACCCACGATTTTACTGAGTGGTAGAGCAGGCTCCAAGTATTGATGGCCTACTCCAGCTGAGTATTTACCTGAGATGCTAAACATTCTTTACTGGACAAGAGAATAAGATTACATTTGAGATCAACAAGGTTTTTAAAACTTCAATAGTAACCTCAAACAAAGATAGAAATACACCTACACTCTGAAAGAGCATTCAGAATTTAACTAGGATATTACGATACTTGGAAGACCCTGATTTCACAAAAAGAAAAACATGTGATTTGAAAGTGTTATAAAGGTGAACCCATCTGCAGACTTGAAAAGAAATGACTGAACTAACTACAGATAATACAGTTCAGTTATACATAAAGTTAAATGATCAGGAACTGATGTTACTTTGGTGAAATATAAAAGGTGAATAATTCCTATTCCTTTGACAACTGATAGTGAAAGGGGTATTTTACTGGTGTTAAGGCAGAGACACTTAAGGGCCAGTGTAAAATTAGCCTCATTAGGTCACAATTACACCCAAACCTCAACCATTTAAACTGAAGAAGTTACATACAGATTTAGGCTATTTAACCTTAATTTCCTCCTTTGGCCCTGGATCTTTCTGGTGATTCTGTACTGAACCTTTTCTAAAGCCAATTTTATATCTTTCTTGAGTTGTGACAAATGCCCACCAAATATCAAAAGTACAGCAGACGAGACTTCAAGTTTTTAATCCAAGCAAAGCCTCGCTTTCGAATTCCAGCCCTTGAGAAAAAGATTAACATTCTATTAGTGCACTTATACCTTCAAACTAGCTTTTAGTTACGTGCAAGTGGACACCCAGATCCCCTTCCTCCTCCACATCTTCTAACATCCCCATTGCAAAAATATTCTGATCTGTTTCTCTCCAACCTGACACAAATGGCCTCACTTCCCCAACTGAACTCTTGTCTGCCTTATGATTATTTGTAACGTCCTTTTCACCCCCATCTGTACAACATATTGAGCCTCTTATCAGGTGTAGCATCAGTATAGGTTCTGCAGACAAAACCCTTCTCACCCTCAACCAAACAAACAATCTAGTCATCACTATGAATCAACTGGGTTGAATTATTTAAAAGTAAGAAACTCAAAGTACCCTGTTCATGAAGATGGGTTCCACTGGAAAAATCAGTTAGCGTTATTAACCTGAAAATAACTGCATTAATTTAGGACGTGTTAAAAGGGAGGGTCCGAACTGAAAACCAAATTTCCAGGACCAATTGAAATTCACATACTCCCACATAATATTCAATAATAACCAGGTTTTACGATAATTTACATCTCACATCAAGAACAGATGAAAGGCACAGTGTACACTCTTGTTGAACAATGCAAGAGAAAAGATAAAATATAGCGTAAACACAATGCACACATCTCTAAAGATTGGGTCCCATTTCAAACAATGGAAGCACACAGCACTAACACTTTGTAAACCTTTTCTTCCATTAAACCAGGAGAGAAGGCCCTCCCCTAAGCAAATGGATGAGAATGCTTCAGTGTAACCTGTCATTTGCACTTCTCTCTCTCAACTTCTACTCAGTGTTTTTCTTGCTGTACTTAGTGCGCATCTCAGCCTAATACTAAACCCCAAGAAAATTAGAAACTCAACATAATGGAAACTGCATGTCCAAATTTGTGATTAACCTGCTACGGCATAGAGAGCTCACTAAAGCACCGATGCATCACTGTGAAGTGTGCTCTGATAAATTCAGCCTTAACTTTACTGTTACATCTGTACAGAAAATACAAAGATATGTTCAAAAATATATTTATGCACTTGTACATGTAGCCAGTTTCAAAGCAGTAATCTAATACTGAACTAGAAAATAAGTCCAATCTGACTGCAGGATCAATTTGGATTAAGCTGTGTAAATGTATAGACTATTTACAGCAGGGATGGAGGTCATGAACCTCATGTACAATGTACGCAAGTACATACATGGGCAGTAATGACAAATACTCAATTTTATACAAGGTCATTTTCCATGCCTTCAGTCACCTTAATGGGCGACTGACTTCAGTTGTCTCCAATTCAAGCCTATTTTGCTTTTTTCACAAATATGAAGAGGGATATAGTTGGAAGATGACAAGTAAAATCAAAATTCCCAGTCACAATCTAGCTCTTGGAAGGGACTGATTGAACCATCCATCTGTGACTGCAGCCCTTCTTTGGCCGGAGAACCAGACAGTGGCACTGCTGGTTGAAGCAAATTAATTAGTGTCTTCCTGGTCTGCTTCTTAACCTGTAGAGAGAAGAGAGAGAGACACACAGAGAGAGAGGGAAAATTAGAGCCAGAGTGAGATATGCTGCAAAGGTTAGGGCTTTCAAAATGACTAAAGCAAGTCACCAATGCAAGAGATAAAGTCTTCTAGATTCAAACTTTTGTACTAAGTAAAATATTTGTCAGCATTTTCCAAGGAGTGGCAATCTCTCCAGCCATTCTGTTTTATGAAAGAACAGAGCTCCACATTACTGAGAGGAGAATCCGATCATTGCTCCTTTGGAAGTGTGAACCATGATTCCATTCTGACACCTCTTTTGTAATGCAGAAACGTCAGTCGAAGGCAAACCACCCTCCATTTTTTTATCGCAGTCTGTCACAATATTCTGATATTTAAAGGTTCAGACAGCCACTTTGACAGCTGCTGTCAAAAAGATAAATCAGGTAAGTATGATGTTAGGGTGCTAACTTGATACTCAGCAGTGCTCAGGGCAAGTTGGAGCAGGCGGAGGGGTTCTGGTGTTGCAGCAAGGGTTATGGTTGGAAGGAGGGATTGGGTTGTGTTGACTCCAGTGATGAGGACATCAGGTGAAGTGGCAGGGGTTCCATGTCAGACTGGCTCTGGCAGCAAGGGTTCCAAGTCAGATCCAGTGTGGCCACAGTGAGAGGGCACGTTGGCTTGGGTGAAGCAGGCAGGGAGGTAGGTCCAGGATGGTCCAGTGGAGTGGCAGTGGTGGCCGGGTTGTGTTTGGGTCAGATTTGATGGTGTTTTGTTGCAGAGCAGAGAAATGGGGGAGTATGTCAGACAGTGGGGTAACTGGTTTCTTTAAGGGGCAGAGTGGGAAAGGAGTGTTGGATCAGAATCTGAGGGAATGCAAGGGTGCTGAGGGAGGTCGGGATAGGGGATGTGAGAGCTAAGTATGGGGTCAGTTGATTAGTTACTCAAGGGTTAGTTCAGTTAATTTTATTGGAACTCTCCAAATTCTTCAATTTAAATGGAGACTTTCAGAGGGTTCCACAGAGGAACTGCCTAATACAATCTTCAATTTCCCAGTCAATTCCTTCAAAGTCTGCTAAGATGGGGATTCCACAAGGTCCCCATGCAATATTCCTATCTATGCTGGAGTAACAACTGTCTGGCCAATAGAAAATCCAAGACAATAAACAGTGTAGAGCAAAAAGAATGCTTGCAATAATGAATGCTGAATTTTACATCTTCTGCATCACAGTAGTTGAATCCAATACATTGATATACATATAAGCCACACTTACCCGCCCCCCTCCTTATAAATTGTATTTTATTCACTGCATGCGTTCTTCATTATAAATTGACTAAATTATGAAAAATGTCTAGAAAATATTTATTTTGCCACAGGTTACAAAAACTGTATAACCCTGTTATATTCATCCCTCTTTTTCTCTCTCTCAGGATTCAAGGCACCTCCCCTGTCTATTTTCAATATTTTCCCAGTTCAGAATAAAACCTGAGTCAATACTCACCTGTCTGAAAAAGGGGTGGGTCAACAACATACTTGCTGATGGTCTGGAACAGAAGAGATGCTTATTGTTCATTGAATGCAAAATAAGATTGCAAAGACTAATCTGACAATAAAACAACACACAAAAGCCGAATATATTAAATGATAAACATACAAAATTGGAACAGAAAGATGACTGTATGGGCCACTGAGGTTTCTCAATGACTTAATATGATCTAGATTAATTTTGGAAAGGGAAATTAACCATTACGTAGTAGACAGGTAGATATTAACAATGCAGACAGCTGCTGTGTTCAGCAGTTCCTCTGCAAAGTCACTGACAGATGGTTTAACTTACTTGATTTCAAGGGACCAGTTGTACTTGTTAGATGGATTAGCTGCAATTGATTCCAGACAGTAGTCTGACTATACAGGTGCAATTTAAATGGGTATATTTAAATCCATGGCAGTCATGCAGTACCTGAAATCTTCAAAATCAACCCTTCATGCAATAGCAAATAGAGGCAAGAAACCTAGCCATAGGCAAAGAATACAGGCAAATGACACCCAGCTGAAACATATCAAATGAGTAAAGGGTAAAAATATTGAAATGGATTTAACCTAAATCAGAAAGTGAATTAATATACACACCGATTTCCAGGCTCCCTCTGTAGACAGAGCTCCACAAAGCTGTGAAAGGCTGACGAGAATGTTTTCTTCATAGAATTCTGAGATCCTTCCTTTGTGTTTGTCCTCAGCCTGCTGCAGGGTGCAACACTCTCTCCAATTCCAGAATCCACACCAGAGCGATAATTCTTCATCAGTAAATCCTCTGGAGGAAAACTGAAGTCCACTAGACACAATGAGCCCTTCAGTTTCTGAAGCAGCATCTGTGAGAAATGAAATAGGCAATACTTTGAACTTTACTTCTCTGTCTCATTCCCCTTCATTCACTGGTCAGGCCCCATCATACATAATATAAAGATACAATTCTCTACATTAAAAATTAATAATCGGTCACCTGCGTGGGCAGCATATCTTGAAAGGGAACTTGGCCTCTGGCTAACTCACACGCTGTGATCCCAAGGCTGTAGATGTCAGACTTTGCATCATATCCATGCAAGTCCTAATGTGGAAGAGAAGACACAGTGTATGACACTGAAAAGGAGAGGTAATAGGCAATGCTTTGTATACTGCAATTTGGAGTGTAGATACTGAAAAGCAGTTTCATAAACCGTAATACAGTGAAAACATGGGCTGCTGTCTGAAATAACTCCAGAGGCCATTATCCCATCACCAAGTCCCCCTTTGTTTACATGTCAAGAGACCTGTTTACATCTGTCAGTCAGGGCTCCCTGATTTGGACCCGGTTAACAGCCCCATCAAGGAATTCATTCTATGAGGCCCACCTGACTGACCTCATTATAATCATTACACTATCTGCACTGAGTCAGTTTCCTTTGACTTTGTTAGACAGAGTTGGGCTTATAAAAACCAAACTGTTTTTATCCTCATTCGTCTTGTTTTGATTTTATTATTGTCACATGTACTGAGATAAAGTGAAAAGTATTGTTTTGCATGCTATCCAGACAAATCATACCATATACAAGTATTTCAGGGTACTAAAACAGAATGCAGAATATAGTATTACAGCTACAGAGAAGGTGTGGAGAGAGAGAGAGATCAACTTTAATATTAGAGAGGTCCATTCAAAAATCTGATAACAGTGGGGAAGAAGCTGTGTATGAATCTGTTGGTACATATTTTCAAAAAAGTTAATAGTCAAGTGGCGAAATTGGACCATTTCCACGCCAGATGTCCAGTTTTTCTTAAATAATCAACCTCTTCAGACTTGTTATGACAAAACTTTAGAAGAGGTAGAACCCAAACCCGGGCCTTCTGGCTCGGAGGTAGAGACACTACCACTGTGCACAAGAACCCCAAAATGCCAGATTTCTATGCTTTCCTCCTAAGCCAATACTCGAACCTTGGCTCAGTACACTCACTGAAGAAACTATCCAAATGTAAGAAAGAAAGCATGTTGTGAAACGGACATAAGGAGGATACAAAAGGTATATAGATAGGTTAAGTGAGTGGGGAAAGATCTGGTAAATTGGAATATAATATGGATAGATGTGAAATTGTCCATTTTGGAAGTAAGAATAAAAAGGAAGCATGTTATCTAAATGATGTAAGCTTGCAGAGGTCTAAGATGCAGAGGGATCTGGATCCTGGTGCATAAATCACAAAAGGTTAGAATGCAGGTAGAGCAAGTAATTAGAAAAGCTAAATAGAATGTTATTGGTTATTGTAAGAGTTATTAAATACAAATGTATGGAGGTTTTGCTAGTTATACAGGGAAGTGGCAACACTACATCTGGAGTACAATGTATAATACTGATTTTCCCCATTTAAAAGAAGGATTTAAATGTATTGGAAGCAGAGGGAAGGTAATACATGCTAGGCTAATAGCTGCTGGAGTTTAAAACCGTTAAGAGGTGATTTGATTGAAACATACAATATCTTGAGAAGTCTTGACAGGATGCACATGGATGCAAGATGCGTTTTGTGTGAAAATCCAGATTTGGCATTACTGTTTAAAAACAAAAGGGATCGTCCATTTAAGACAAAGATGACACAACATTTTTGCAGAGCGTTGAGTGTCTGTGGAACACTTTTCTTTAAAAGATAGTGGAAGCAGAGGCCTTGGGTATTTTTAAGGCAGAGGTAGATAGGTTCATGGTAAACAAAGGATTGACAGAGTATCATGGCTAAGTGAGAACATGGGTTAATCAGATCAACCATGATATTATTGAATCGTGGTGCAGATTTAGGCAACTCCTGCTCCTAACTCGTGAGCTCATATATAATTCTCCCACAAACAGTTGTTAATGGCATGATCAATTGGAAATATCAAAACTGGGATTGATAAACTTTCATTAAATTTTAGTAAGTAAAATGGAAATAAGGCATATGGATGGGACGAGGAGGATTTGCCAATGGAGAGGTCTCGGCTCCTGAGCCAGAGAGAGGCCCGCATATGCTCTCTTTGGTGAAGGCCCACCACAGTAACAGCTAATCAGGCAACTAAAGGTGACTAGCGAGGCAGGATACTCTGTCTCTTGAGAGTTGCCAGTTTGAAGCATAGGATTGTGGAATGGTCCAGCTGAGGGGTAAATGAGGGCAAGAAGGGTTTGACATGTTTGGCTTTAAAGGAGATCACAAAATCATAGAATCCCTACAATATGGAAGCAGGCTATTCAGCTCATCGAGTCCACACTGACCCTCCAAATAGCAGCCCACCAAGACCCAGCCCATCCCTGTATCCTTACATTCCCCATAGCTAATCCATCTAGCCTGCACAACCCTGCATACTATGGGCAATTTAGCATGGCCAATCCACCTAATCTACACACCTTGTGACTGTGGGAGGAAATCGGAGCACCAGGAAGAAATCCACGTCGAAACAGGGAAAATGTCGTTTGAGGGAGGAATTGAACCCAGGTCCCTGGCACTGAGGGGCAGCAATGCTAATCACCGAGCCACCATGTTGCCCCAAATGGAGATGGTGCAGGGATCGGCAAGAGCAGGAAACCAGGTGGTAGCTCTCATTCCCAATGTCAAGTCGTTCAATCAACCACTAATGCCCTTTTAATGAGGTCCCCCAACCTCACCCTTCCCACGCCCCCTCCAACCCAATCAACACCCACCCCTTTCCAGTCCATAAGCAACATCCACAGGTTTGTCATCTGCCCTGCTACTGCTGGCTTATTATCGGAGGCAGGAAGAGCCCCTTAGTTGAGCATTAATTGCCCACTTCAAGCATCAACTGGTCCAGGGAAGCAAGGCAGTGCAATGGCATAATCAGAGTAGAGATGGGAAGGTGGCTTAGAAATAAAAACCAAAGAGTCTCCATCCATCACTATCCCACCTAATTGGACACTCTCTCCGTCTTCAAACTTGCCTTGGGAAGGGCATAAAATACTGACCACAAAGTAAAGATACAGAAACCAGCCATGAACTAATTGAAGAGTGGAACAGGCTGGAGGGACTGTGTCCCCTCCTCCTTTTCCTTTATTTGTGAATACGTTAGTTTCCAAGGAAGTTAAAAAATTGTTTTTATTACATCACACTGCTAACTATTTGAAACCCAGCATCCCCATTAACAAGTGCAGATATTACACTCTAAATGTATCTTAAATAAATCTTAAAACCATTTGCAAAATGCAGTGCTCAGTTAGGTAAATCAATTATTCTGCATCCATCACACAAATTTAGGTGAGTAGTCAAGATGGTAAGTTGTGATTACAGGCAAGCAGACAACCAAGCAGAAAATGTACCTGCTGGAGAACCTCAGGGCTCAGCCAAGGCAAAACAGATGCACTGAACTCTGGGAAGTCATACACAACCTTTAGCCTTTGTCCATCTGTGATCATATTGCAGAGACCATGCAGACCAGTGAGGTAAATGTGACCTTCTCCAGATATTAACATGTGGTTGGGTCTAACACATCTGTTGAAGGAAAAAAAAAATTTTGGAACCTGATGGGCTTAACTTGATTGCATTTGAAAATATTTTCTGAAGAAACACAGGAACAGAAAATGGGAGCAGGAATACGGCATTTGGCCCTTCGAGTCTGGTCTGCCATTCATAGCTGATCATCCTACTTGGTACTCTATTTCAGTTTTCTTAACTAATCCTTTGATCCTTTTAACCCTAAGAATTATATCAGATGACGAGGTGTGGAAATAAATGTAATATAACTAATAACGGCAGTCAAAATTCACAGATAGGTCCACACCAGTTCTGTCTCTTGCATTTTTCAACAGACTTCAGCCTGCATCACACTATCCCCAAAGTTTTACATCAGCAGATAACCACATCAACAGAAACCAAAAGGAAGCTATATAAATTCAGAGGAAGTTTTTGGGATTTTTAAAAGATTCTTTTGTGGGGTATGAGCAACCCTGACAGGGCCAGCATTTGTTACTGCTCCCTAACTGCCCTCAAGATTATGGTGGTGAGCTGCCTTTTTGAACCACTGAAGGTCATCTGGCATAGATACACCCGCAGTGTTTTAGATATGGAATGCCAAGATTTTGAATCAGTGATCATGAAAGAACAGCAATATAGTTCCAAATCAGAATGGTTGTGGCAGAATGATAGTGCAGGGCAGATCTTTCAATGCACCTGTTGCCTTTGCCCTCATATCTGGTAGAGCTCCCGGGTTTGAAAGATGTCAAAGGAGTCTTGGTGAGTTGCTGTAGTGCATAATATTGCTGGTACACACTGCTGCCACTATGCATCTGTGGTGGAGGGAGTGAGTGTTTAGTTGGTGAATGGAATGCCAATCAAGCAATCTGCTTTGTCCTGAGTAACTTGACAATTCCAAGCCTCGGACTTGCTCTTAGGTCATACAGCATGAAAACAGGCTCTTCAGCTCAACTCATCCATGCTGACCAAGTTTCCAAGCTGAGCTAGTCCATTTTTCTGCGTTTGGCCAGTATCCTTCTAAACCTTTCCTATGCACATACTTGTCCAAATGTCTTAAATGGTGGAATTGTACCCACCTCTATCACTTCCTTTGAGACTTCATTCCATATCTGCATACCCTCTGTGTGAGAACATTACCCCTCAGGTCCCTTTTAAATCTTTCCCCTCTCACCTTAAACCTATGCCCTCTAGTTTTGGGTTCTCTTACCCAGGGGAAAAGACCTTGGCTATTCACTCTGTCTATGCCCCTCATGTTTTTTTTATAAACCTCTATAAAGTAACCCCTCAGCTTCTTATGCTCCCGGGAAATAGGTCCCAGCCTATCCAGCCCCTTTACAACTCAAATGACTCAGTCAGTACAGACAGAGAGGTTAGATCTGTCTCATTGCACTGCAATGGAAACAAATATTAAATAACTATGCTAGAATAGAGTACATGCGATTTATACTTTTATATCAGACAATCGTTCAAACCAGGAAGACAATAGTGTTACGAATGCACCATTACAAATACATGTAAATGCATACTAACAAACACATGCTATTTTTGGTCCTGGTAAAGGAGCAATGCTTAAACTGGAGAAAAACAGACACTTATTCTGCCCGAGTTAAGAGAATTGGTTTTAATAGGACAAATACAGATTTCATTGGTTCCTGATCCAAACTGAACACTCTCTATGATCTCATTGCTCTTATTTCTGTAACCTCCCTCAATCTCTCAGTCCTCTGAGATCTTTGCGCTCCTCCAATCTGGTATCTTGCATGTGCCTGATTTCAGCACTCCACCATCAGCAGATGTGCCTTCAACTAACTTCCAAGCTTTGGAATTCACTGTCTAAGTCTGTGTCTTTGAGTGCTCTTTAATGTGCTCCTAAAAACCTCTCTTTCACCAACCTCTTAGTCACCTATACTAGTACGATCCTAGATGCTTTGGTGTCAAATTCTATCTGATAAGGTGGTTTGCAGGATAGTTAAGGTATTTTGCTTCATAAAAGATGTTATATAAATGTAAATTGTAGTCGACTGAGCAAATTGAAAGCCTCTTGCCACATCTCATAGGAGATATCACATACCATTTGTCTACTGCATCACTTACCGTGAGCTTTTCTTTGTAATTTTAGTCTAAAATTTTATAATGGACAACCACAAGAACACTATTTGCATATCTGCCTCTAAAGAGTAAAAGTTACATCCTGACACAGCTATTTCAACTATACTAATGCAATAATGCACGCATGAAAATGTAAACAAGATCACCGTGCAGTTTGGTCTCCAAAACATGCCTGTGAAAAGCATAAAAACGTGTCAGCGATGAAAGATTTAAGATTACAAAATGTGTGGCAGGTGAGTGAGGAGTGAGCTCACTCAAAAATTAAGACTGGTCGCCTTAAATTCTAAATTTACCTGTGAATGCATCCCATTCGGTGAATATAATCCAGTGCCTTCAAAACTCCATGAAAAATGTGTGCAATGAGACTTTCACTCATGCCTTGAGTAAAATACAACTTTAGGAGGTTGCTGGCTGAACCTACACAAAGTCAGAAAGACAAGCTTACAGAAAATGTATGCACATTGATTAAACGTGGCTTTTAAGTACAAAATGTAGGACATGGAAGATCATAACAAAGGAAGTTGTCTGTTCAGATTTTATCTTACCATAAGCTGTGAATGCCATAATGACCCATAGCTCGCAGCCCTGCGTGAAAACGGCTCTGTGTGGCAGAATGTTTGGGTGCCGGAGAAATTGCCAGACAAGAAGCTCATTCTGAAAACAAAGTGTAAAATCTTTCGGTGAAAAGCAACATGCTGGGCACTGTGGCCATGATCAAAGGAGTATGTATAATCTCCTGTTTGCTGCTTCTGGGAAGCAGGCAGCATTCTTGCCTCAACACGTCAGCAGCTATAGTTTTCCTTTGGCTTTGCTATTAGAAAAGTATTACAAAACATTTATATTTGGTTATACAAGGCCAGTGGCTTAGTCGTTAGCCTCACAGCACCAGGGACCCAGGTTCAATTCCAGCCTTGGGCAACTGTTTGTGTAGAGTTTGAACGTTCTCCCCGTGTCTGTGTGGATTTCCTCTGGGTGCTCCAATTTCGTCCCACAGTCCAAAGATGTGCAGACTAGGGGGATTAGCCATGGGAAATACAGGGGTACAGGGATATAAGGAGTGAGGGGGTCGGGTAGGCTTGCTGGTTAAAATGGCCTGCTTCCACACTGTTGGGATTCTATGAGCAGAGTCTCATTCCTCAGTCAATGAGTTGAAGTCTGATAATTGATAGTTACCTCGGTTCAGCTCAGGACAGTAGCACTTACAACGCTAGGACTGGCTTCAACACTCCTTTGTGAGGAGCTAGCAAGTTAGCATGGTCAGACAGTTTCCATGTCCTGGTCACCATTTAACAATTACCAGCTATAAAGTACTTGTATGTCAGGATCCTCTAATGAAACAAGTGCTCCATAATCAAATAAGTCACATTTTCATAAGTGGGACGCAGAAGTTAAATCAAGAAGTAAAATCCTGCAATTATTTGGTGAACAACTGAATGCCCAAATGGGAAATTTGAGGATGTGGTTGGGTGAATTAAGTGTGAGAGGGGCAAATTGTGTTCATCATTTGTAATTATCTTACCAAGCAAAGTTTTGCACTCAACTCACCCACAACAGCAATAATTCCCATTTATTTTGGGCAGTTAATACTAGAGAAGCTAGAGAGGCTGTCCTTAGAGCAGGGGAGATTGAGGCAAGAGTTGACAAACATGTGCAAGTTTATGCCATTTTAGGTATAGAAAAGCTGTTGCCATTAGCTAATAGTACAAGCACTGGGAGATAGGTTTAAGGTTTTGGTAAGAGATAAAGGGACAGTGTGAGGAAGAATTTTAAATAAAGCGAGTAGTGGTGACACAGCATTTGCTGCTTTTAAAGGAGGTGAAAGCGTAGACAATGAATTATTTTAAACAGTAACTAGATAGGAAGTCAAGGAAAACAAACTTGCAGGGAGAATGGGAATACAGCAGCAAAATGTGGCAGAGTGGATTTCCCTGCATAGAACCAGCATCACCTTTTTGGGCCAAATGACCTAGTTTTATGTTGTGACGACTTTATATGCCAAAGGGTCACTGGCTGCAGGGAAGAGGCAGTGGGGGACAATTCAGATGACTCAAATCTATCAAACTATTCAATAAGTTTTAAAAGATATGAGCTTAATCAGCCAATAGTTAGTACACTCAAGATGTAGATTTTTTCTTAGCAGTTCTATGATACTGACCTGCAGGGAGGCTAGATTATCTTCAGAACAGGTGTCCATATTAGTGCGTTTCACAACCACCATTTTACCTGATGGGATGTGTTTAGCCAAGTTCACCGTGGTTAAATTACTAAAACTCTTGCCTACCACAGAAAAACAAAAAAAAAATCAACATGATAATCAGATTCAAAGCTTCCATTGTTGTAGTAAAACCACAGGCAAAACACTCTGCACAGACAGGATATGTATATTGTCCCTAGAATGATTTCACAGTTCAAAGTCTTGAACTGACATATCCTGCCCAGTGGAGTGCTGACAGAATGCTGCATGGTCAGTGGTATTGTTTTTTGGGTGACACTAAAATAAAGGCCTCATTCGCCCACTGAGTAAAACAATCCCATGGCACTATTCAAAGATGAGCAGCAGCGTTCTCACCAGTATCAAAAACAGAAATTGCTGGATAAACTCAGCAGGTCTGGCAGCTTCTGTGGAGGAAAATCACAGTTAACATTTCGGGTCCAGTGACCCTTCTTCAGAACAGTTCTGTATTCCAGGGCAGGAACTCTCCTGGATACTGGATAAGAGTTATCTTACTCAATTTAGGTCTAGTAGGACTCCTTTGTTGTCTCGAGTTTGCACACTGGCAACAAATACAATGGCTTGCTGGCCAGGATTCTGAAGACAATTTTAACAATTTGGTCACGGCTTGGCTTTGCTTTGCTTTGGGATTTTGCTGTGGGCTGACCTGGAGTTCCTCTGATCAGGATATGCCCTGAGCGAGGCTATGCAATTACCTACACTCACATGGTATTCCCCAAGCTCAGTCAGACTGGCGAGGGTGTCCACTTCCATCGGAATGCCCTGCGTCTCAAGCTTCACTTGCCACATTTTCTAATACTAAAGCCAGCTGTAGCACTGTTTGAAGTCCATTGGGCTTCAACTAGTAGGTGCTTTACATACATACCTCATTAATCCCACATACCAAACCATCTCTAAGGGTTGAACCAAAGTTTCAGATTTCTGCCAGTCATCTCAACCTAGTCAAAAATCCCGATATGGATTCTCCTGGTTCTTGATTTGCCGAGTAAAAACATTAACATCTCAGAATTAGAGGACGTTTAGACAAAGTGGTACCAAAAGCAACTTTACACATTATTTTTACCTATTTCAGATAGAAGCTCATAGTGACTGGCACTGTTGGTGTATATTATGCTAGAATCTTGCACAGGGCTCCTTGAATGTCTAGCAACTTCATTGCTCTGTGTGGAAGAAAACATTAATTAGGATGATAACGTGCTCAAGAAATGAAGAGAGAATGACAGTGTGGTGAATTAAACATATTTACTTATTGGTATTACATCCCGCTTTAAATATGTCCAGATAGGCCTTGGTATCAGGCAAATGAGAGGGGACAGAAAAAAGTAAACTGTCAGAGTTTGCACGTACAAGGATCATTGAATAAACCAACCATCTGAACTGTCGTGCATATTAGACTCTTATGGCTGAATCTTCCTAGCTTTCTAAGGTGGGTTAGGAAGCAGAACCAGAAGTTGGAAAATAACTCTTCAGTTGGTTACTTAATGTGTTCTCACCTCCCAGCATCCTTATCAGAGGCATTGACAACATGACAGATTAGCTGCCCTGATGCAGCAGTTATCCGATTGGGCCTATTAGTGGGCCACTTGTGGGAATTTTGATGGTGCAGCCAGAATCCACCAAGAGCACATCATATCCCTGGTGAAACTGGAAAGCAACAGGAGGAAGCCTAACAGTGTTAAGCTGGGGACCATCAAAGCCTCAATCCCATTAGCCACTAGGATGTGACAGCCACAGCTATTATATGGAGGGACTGTGGCTTTGCCTGATTTTTTCCAATCTTCCCTAATGCTGAAGTTTTCAGGCACCCTGCCATTCTCATGGCTGCTTCAGCAGCATGCACTTTTACCAGTCAGACATCATGATGGGCCATGCTTTTGAACCACTACATTCCAAAGTCCATCTGCTGAACTTAACAAGCCTGGCAAGATTGTAACCAACATCCTACCAAAGCCACTTCCAAGTTCCTGATCTACAATGGAGGCTGGTATCAGGATTGTGGCCCTCCATACAATGGCTGTAGCTGTCGCCTCCTAATGGCTGGTTCTCTTCAATCAGCTTAAGTATTTCAATTTTCTATTTATTAAATTGAATGGTGGTCCTCCCAAATATTTTCTGTCTATGCTCTGTCTTAATTTACATCCATGTTCTAAAGGAGGGTAATTTACGCTGTAACATCTATCGCCTGCATTTTAAGAATGTAATTGTTCTCATCATGAGCAGCATTCTTCTGCCTATGTGTCCCTCTCATAATACAGGTTTTATTTTACACATCAGAACAAGCAATTTAAACTGGAATCCCTTCTAGACCTAAATGGACTGTTGGAGGCACTGAACCTACATTCTCAGCCTTGAACTACTCAAATCAATTCTAGGATATTGTGAACGTTGGCACGATACACTAAAAACGTTCACTGTAAGAATATTAGGAAACTTATTAGAATGTTACTATTTATTGCGAAGGGTATTGAAACAAGCTTTCAACAAACTATAAGGCTAATCCCTCCCATCACTATCACATATATGTTTTCTCTCTTGCAGTACTGATTTCACTTCAAAACTGAAACCTGCCCGATGCAGACTTTAATATGTCACCTACCTGGCTTCCAGCATCAATTGACTCTACTTCTCTCCTGGAAAAACAGGAACATACCTTGAAAGAATAAAGTGCAAAGTTACAGGTTACATCCATATCATGTAATAGAAGCCTGTAATTTATTAACCAAATAACAGGAAAATCATAGGTGAGGGGATAGGAAATGAATAAAATTTGAAGAGGAATATCTGATACATCAAAATAAAAACACAAAGAGCGCGAGAAAATCATTTCTAACATGATTTTTCTTCAGAACTCTGAAGTCATACTGAATTTGAAACATTAACTAGGAAACAAAGAACTTTAGGTCCTGGAGATCTGGATCAGAAACAGAAATTGCTGGAGAAACTCAGCAGGGCTGGCAGCATCTGTGGTGAGAAAACATTGTTAATGTTTCGAGTTTGATGACCTTTCTTCAGAAAGTCCAGTTCAGAAGTTTCTCCAGCTCTGTTTTTATTTCTGTTTTATTACAGCATCTGCAGTACTTTGCTTTTACCTGATGCCTCAAACGTCAAACCATACACAGACCTTACAGCACAGTAACAGGTCATTTATCACAACAAGTCTGTCCTGATGGTTCAACTCCAAACAAGCCTCTCCTAACCTAATTCTTCCAAACCTGTCAATATATTATTCTGCTATTTTCTCCCTCATGTATTCCCCTAACTGCCATTAAAAATGCATTTATACCATTTTTAACCATCCCATGTGGCAGCAAATTCCATGCACTTCTTGCTGCTTGAGCCTGCTCTGCCATTCAATAAGAGCATGGCTGATCGGATTGTACACTAAAATCCACCGTCTTAACAAGAATCTGTCTACCTCATAAGACAGCCCACCTATTCCAAGTATTAGTCTGGTAAATCTTCTTTGGTCTACTTCCAATATTTTCACATCCTTCCTTAAATAGGGTGACGAATACTCAGTACTCCAAATGTGATCTCACCAGTTCCCTGTATAACCAAAGCATAACCTCCCTAATTTGGGGTATTGAATACCCCTCACAATAAATTGTAACATTCTAATAAGTTTCCTAATCACTTGCCGTACTTGCGTACTAAAATTTTACGATTCATGGACTAGGACAGGGCCCTATGAATCTTAATGAATCTTTTCCTTCCAAATGGAGAATTTCACATGTTCCCACATTATACTCCATGTGCCAGATCTTTACCCACTCACTGTTGGTTCCTTTGTAGCTTTATATTCACTTTGCAATTTACTTTCCTACCTAGCTTTGTGTCATCGGTAGATTTGGCAACCATGTTTTGATGGTATTAGGCAAGAACTTCCAAACGTTGATTGGGGGCAGATGTTTGCAGGTAAACGGACAGCTGGAAAATGGGAAGCCTTCAAAAATGAGATGATAAGACTCCATAGACAGTATGTTCCTGTTAGGGTGAAGGGCAAGGCTGGTAGGTGTAGGGAATGCTGGATAACTAGAGAAATCGAGATTTTGGTCAAGAAAAAGAAGGAAGCATATGTCAAGTATAGAGAACAGGGATCGAGTGAATTCCTAGATCAGTAAAAAGGCAGTAGGAGTATACTTGAGAGAAATCAGGAGGGCAAAAAGGGGACATAAAATAGCTTTGGCAAATAGGGTTAAGGAAAATCCAAAGGGACTCTACAAATACATATTGGACAAAAGAGGAACTAGGGAGAGATTAGGACCCCTTAAAGATCAACAAGGCCACCTACATGTGAAACAGCAGGAGACGGGGGAAGATGCTAAACAAGTATTGTGCATCAGTGTTTACTGTGGAGAAGGATTTGGAAGATAGAATGCATGGGGAAATAAATAGCGACATCATGAAAAATGTCTGTTACAGAGAAGGAGGTGCTGAATATCTTAAAATGCATAAAAGGTGGATAAATCCCCAAGACCTGATCAGGTATACCCTAGAACTCTGTGGGAAGCAAGGGAAGAGATTGCTGGGCCCCTTGCTGAGATTTTTGTATCATCGATAGCCATAGGCGAGGTGCCGGAAGGCTGGAGGTTGGCTAACATTGTGCCACTATTTAAGAAAGGTGGTAAGGGAAGGCCAGGGAACTATAGACTTGTGAGCCTGACATCAGCGGTGGGCACGTTCTTGGACAGAATCCTGAGAGACAGCATTTACACATGCTTGGAAAGGCAAGGACTGATTAGGAATGTTCAACATGGCTTTGTGCATGGGAAATCATGTCTCACTAACTTGAGAGAGTTTTTTTGAAAAAGTAACGAAGAGGACTGATGAGGGCAGAGTTGTGGACGTGATCTAAATGGACTTCAGTAAGGCGTTCAACAAGGTTCTGCATGGTTAGAAAGGTTGGATCACACGGAATACAGGGAGAACTAGCTATTTGGATACAGAACTGGCTCAATGGTAGAAGACAGAGGGTGGTGGTGGTGGGTTGCTTTTCAGACTGGAGGCCTGTGATCAGTGGTGAGCCATAAGGATTGGTGCTGGGTCAACTGCTTTTTGTCATTTATAGAAATGACTTGAATGTGAATATAGGAGGCATGGTCAGTAAGTTTGCAGATGACACTAAAATTGGAAGTGCAATGACAGCGAAGAATGTTACCTCAGCCAACAATGGTATCTTGATCAGATGGCCCAATGGACCGAGGAGTGGCATGTGGTTTAATTTAGATAAATGTGAGGTGCTGCATTTTGGAAAGGCAAATCAGGACAGGACTTGTACACTTAATGGCATGGTCCTGGGGAGTGCTGCTGAACAAACAGACCTTGGAGACCAGGTTCATAGTTCCTTGAAAGCAGAGTAATAGGCAGATAGGATGGTGAAGGCGGCGTTTGGTGTGCTTGCCTTTATTGGTCAGTGCACAGAATACGGGAGTTGGGCAGGTCATATTGCAGCGTACAGGACATTGCTTTGGCCACTTTTGGAATACTGCAAGCAATTCTGACCTCCCTCCTACAGAAAGGATGTTGTGAAACTAGAAAGGGTTCAGAAAAGATTTGAGGATGTTGCCAGGGTTGGAAGGTTTGAGCTATAGGGAGAGGCTGAGTAGACTGGGGCTATTTTCCCTGGAGGAGGCTGAGGGGTGACCTTATAGAAGTTATAAAATCATGAGGTGCAACTAGAAGGCATAGGTTTAAAGGTGAGAGGGGAAAGATATTAAAAAGGGACCTAAGGGGCAACTTTTTCACGCAGAGGGTAGTGCGTACATGGAATGAGCTGCCAGAGGAAATGGAGGCTGGTACAATTACAATATTTAAAAGGCACTTGGATGGGTACATGAATAGGAAAGGTTTAGAGGGATATGGGCTAAATGCTGGCAAATGGGACCAGATTTATCTAGGATATCTGGTTGACATGGATGAGTTGGACCGAAGTGTCCATTTCCACGCTATATATCTCTGACTCTGACTGACCTCTCCTGCTCCTTCATTCAAGTCATTTCTATCAGTGATAAATACCTGAGATCCCAACATCAGTCCCTGCGACACACCACTCATTACATCTTGCAGGAAAGAAAAATATTTACGCCTACACTCTATATTCATTAAGCCAGCCAATTTTCTATCCATGCAAACATGCTAAACCCCACACCATGAGTTTTCATTTTCCACAATTTGACACCATATCATACCTTCTGGAAATCTAAGTACGGTACCTCCGAAAGTTCCCCTTTACCAACAATATACATTACTGCCTCAAAGAACATGAATAGATTTGTTAAACATGATTGCCCTTTCACAAATACATATTAACACTGCCTGTTTTCCTTGAATTTGTCTAAGTGCCCTGCTGTATGTTCTTTAGTAATTGCTTCAAACATTGTCCCTATGACAGATACTATGCTTACTGGCCTGTAGTTTCCTCCTTTCTGTCTCGCTCCCCTTGTAAAATAAGGAGTTACATTTGCTACCTTCCAATCTAATAAGACCTTCCCTGAATCGAAGGAGCTGGAAAATTTAAACCAATGCATCAACAATCTTACTGGCCACTCTTTTAAGATCCAAGGATGAAGTTGATCAAGATCGGGTACTTGTCAGTCTGCACTTCAAAAATTTACTGAGTAATAATTCTCTAGTACTGTAATTTTCCTGAGTTTCTCCCTGTCTTCCATTTCCTAATTTATAACTGCTTTTGGGCTGTTGCCTCTACAGCAAAGATCAATCTCAAATATCTGTTCAATTAATTGATTATTGCCTTATTTTCCATTATTACTTGGGCACATTCACTTCCTACAGGACCAACACTCACGTTAACTTTTCTAAAATATTTATGATAACTCTTACGATTTGTTCACATATTTCTGATTAGCTTTCGCTCATATTCTAACTTTTCCTCTCCTTATTAATTGTTTGGTCATTCTTTACTGTATTTTTAACATTCTATCCAACCTTCTGACCTTCTCCATTGCATTCTTTTCCTTGAAGTTCGATACTATCTTTAACCTTTATAATTATTTAAGGATCGTGGTTCATCCCATGGAGTTTTTTTTTACTCTTTGGAATATTTAGAATATAAGATAGCCCCTATTAAATCTTAGTATTTATGTTCCTTAATTTTCAACTGCTAGAAGTTGAAAGATCCTCCTCCGTGTCTACCCTATCAAACACCCTCAAATTTTAAGGCTTCATTTTAATTATCTCTCAGCCACTTATTTTCTTGACACTTGTATCCTTTTATATTTAAAAAGAATCCTGTATTTGTAATCAAATCTTGTAAATTGTTTTTGCATAGGTTTCCTCTAATAACCCAAATTGTTGACCCAGATCTTTAAACTACCAGTCATGCCACACTGAAGCTCTTAATTAAACCCCCAATATATCTGTGTGGCAGAGATAACAGATCAAAAAAAGGACCTAACTAACTCACTTCACAGTGATATCTCAAAAACCCTACCCTGTATCTTTTATTGTCTTTAACCTGATTATTCTTTGGAACTTTCCCACATCTCTTTTTCGTTTTGCTACTTTGCCATATTTGCAAGTCTTTCTTGCAGATGAGAGCTATCTTTCTTTAATTTTTTAGGTCTGTCTGCCTTTCCCTTCTTCTGTCCTGTTTGTGTTTTATGCACGACTGTTCACTTTGGCTTTAGTTGTCTTTTATATCTCACCATAAACATTGGAGAATTGTGCAAAAACCTTTTATGTGGCTATATCGGAACTCAGGCATTAAAAGTATTGTAACAACATGAACAGGCTACAGATTTTTTTCTTTCAAAAAAGAGATGATATAACAGAAGTATTTTAAATTACGAAGACACACAGACACCTGTTTGTGGTAAGGCTTACACAACATAATGGGCTACAAAGCGAAGCAGAACAGAATAGCTGATAAACATACACCCCTCCCTGATGAGCTCAATGCATTTTACGCTTTTTTTGAAACATAAGATCAGTGAAATGATGTCATCTGCTCTGGCAGCCTCGGATTCACCTATTCCCTCAGTCACTGCAGCAGACCTCAGATTGGCCTTTTTGAGAGTGAACCCACGGAAAAAGACTGGCCCAGATGGAATTCCTGGCCATAGCCTCAAATCCTGTGCATACCAGCTAGCGGAAACCTTTGCTAACATCTCTAACCTTTCCTTACTACATTCTGAAGTCCCCACCTACTTCAAGAAGACCACCATTATCCCAGTACCAAAGAAAACTCATGCAGTGTGCCTCAATGACTACCACCCGGTGGATCTGACCTCCACAGTCACAAAGTGCTTCGAGAGGTTAGTTACGACTCACATCAACTCTAGCCAACCTTAATCCCTTGCAATTCACCTACCGTCGCAACAGGTCCATGGCAGACATCTCCCTGGTCTTACACATCCCTGGAATATCTGGAATACAAGGATACCTACATCAGGCTCCTATTCAATGACTTCAGCTCTGCCTTCAACACCAGAATTCCAAACAAACTAATCTCCAAACTCCAAGACCTAGATCTCTGCTCCGCCCTCTGCAACTGGATCCTCGACTTCCTGACCCACAGACTGCAGTGAGAACAAGCAGTAGCACCTCCTCCATGACAATCCTCAACACCAGCGCCCCACAAGGCTGTGTACTCAGCCTCTTACTATACTTCCTATACACTCATGACAGTGTGGCCAAATTTCATCCTAACCCCATCTACAAGTTCACTGACAACACCATCATTGTAGGTCAGACCTCAACAGTGACAAGACAGAATACAGGTAAGATTGAGTGCTTGGTGGCATGGCGCAAAGATAATCTCTCCCTCAACATCAGCAAAATGAGAGAGCTGGTCATTGACTTCAGGGTGAAAGATGGAGGGCATGCCCCTGTCTGCAACAATGGTGCTGAGGTGGAAATGGTCAAAAGCATGAAGTTCCTAGGAGTGACAAACAGCAATCTGTCCTAGTCCACCCACATTGATACTACAGGCAAGAAAGCACAACAATGCCTCTACCTTCTCAGGAGGCTAAGGAAATTTGACATGTCTAGGAAGACTCTACCAATTTTTATAGATGCATCACAGAAAGCATTCTATCCAGATGCACCACATCTCAGTATGGCAACTACTTTGCCGAGGACTATAAGCAAGTACAGAGAGTTGTGGACTCAGTCCAGTCCATCACACAAGCCAACCTTCCATCCATTGACTCCATCTATACTTCTCGCTGCCATGGGCAACCAAAGACTCCTCCCACCCTGGTGAGTATTACTTCCAACGTATTCCATCAGGCAGAAGATGGAAAAACTGAAACACACGTACCAACAGATTCAAGAACAGCTTCTTCCCTGCTGTTATTAGACTTCTGAATGGCCCTCACAAATTTTAATTTTAATGTTGATATCACCCTTTGTGTGCCTTCTCTGCAGCTGTAACATTCTATTCTTCACTCTGTTCTATTTCTAATGCACTCTGTGTGGTATGATCCGCCTGTACTGAACACAAAACAAAACTTTTCACTCTACCTAGGTACATGTGACAATAATAAATCAAATCAAACATTTCTCTGTCTTTCTTCTTTTGTTACCTGTAAGAAAATTTTGGCCCTGCTGCCAGCCTGGTCCCCTTTAGGCCTTTTCCCCACAACTTCTACAGCCTGAGGAAAACAAAAATGCTGGAGATCGCAGCAGGTGAGGCAGTATCCATGGACAGAAAGCTAGCTAGCGTTGAGTCTAGCTGACTCTTCAGAGATGCTGACAGAGTCAGATGTACAGCATGGAAACAGACCCTTTGTTCCAACTCGTCCATGCTGACCAGATATTCCAGATAAATCTAATCCCATTTGCCAGCATTTGGCCCATAACCCTCTAAACCCTTCTTATTCATATACCCATCCAGATGCCTTTTAAATATTGTAATTGTACCAGCCTCCACTTCCCCTGCGTCTTTATCCATGGCTGAAAGACTAGGCTGTTAGCCTGTTTCCAGATCTCACCCAATGATGATGCATCCCTGGTCAATAGGAGGTAGGTTTGGAGGTAACTCTTGTACTTCCTGTCCCTGATGCCCTGACAAGGGGGGATGTCCATACTGTTGCCCCATGTGTCAAGAGTTTTCAAAAGTATCCCATCAAAGGTGCTGTGTTATTACTCAATAAACTGCAAGAAACAATGACCAGTCTTGCTCGTTTCGGGGAAGGAAGGTAAATGTTGCTTCCACTAGCATAAGAATAGCTTCCTCAGACTATAGGAGCAAATTACTGCAAATGCTGGAATCTGTACATTTCCCCTTGGAGCAACAGTATAGACGTCTCCCTTTGTCAGGGCATCAGGGACAGGAAGTACAAGAGTCACCTCCAAACCTACCTCCTATTGAACAGGGATACATCACCATTGGGTGAGATCTGGGAACAGGCCAACAGCCTAGTCTTTCAGCCATGGATAAAGATCAGGGGAAGTGAGAACCAAGAAAATATATCCATGATAAAATATGATGACAAGAATTTATTTCTTAGTGCAAACCATCCATTTCTTTAGGTAACCTGATGAGCAATGGGTACAGCTGCTATTACCTGTTCAGGGACGTCATGTTGCGGCTGTACAGGACATTGCCGAGGTCACGTTTAGAATACTGCATACAATTCTGGTCTTCCTCTCATAGGAAAGATGTTGTTAAAGTTGAAAAGGTTCAGAAAAGATTTACAAGGATGCTGCCAGGATTGGAGGGTTTCAGCGAAAGGGAGAGACTGAATAGACTGGGGCATTCTTTCCCTGGAGCAGAGAGTGAGGGGTGACCTTAAAGAGGTTTATAAAAAAATCATGAGGGGCATGGATAGGATGAATAGCCAAGGTTTTTTTTCCCCACCAAGGGTAGGGGAGTCCAAAACTCGAGGGGAAAGATTAAAAAGGTTTAAAGGTGAGGGGAAAGATTTAAAAGGCAATTTTTTCACACAAAAGGTGGTGCGTGCATGGAACGACCTGTCAGAAAAGGTGATGGAGGCGGGTACTGGTACAATTACAAGATTTTAAAGGCATCTGGATGGGTACATGAGTAGGAAGGATTTCAGTCAGATATGGGCCAAATGCTGACAAATAGGACTAAATCAGTTTAGGATGTCTGGTTGGTGCAGGCGAGTTGGACCAAAGGGTCTGCTTCCGTGCTGTATAACTCTGACTGTAGCTTGCATTAATAAGCCACTCTGATAAAACTGTGGATTGACTCACCAGAAAAGGCATGGAAGCTCCTGATATACTCGATAGCTCACGTTGAGCACAGTAACCCTAGAAGTGAAAAATTAAGTATGTGAAGACCGACTCTGGTTGTAGATCAAGCACAGTCCAATATAATAGATGCAGGAAAGATTCTTCTTAGTGGGTTGTGAAAATATATAATGCTGTATTACTTTCGTTCCTATATTTCTTCCATTTTTGACGGTCACGTGAAATCAAATAGCGACAGCAATAAAATGAATAAAGGACATCAGAAAGATCATCAGCCCGAGATGAGCTTTAAGCTGTAAAAAGAGTGAAATTTAAGAGGAGGTAGCTCTGTGGGTAAATATCACTGCTACATATTCACCACAGGGCCCTTCTTTGAATCATGGTGTTTGTTTTATTTTAATTGTTTATGCTGTTCAATAGATCCCTAGATACATTAATTGTTGATGTACCACAAACAGTAGCACAAAGTAAGATCCACTTTTTATATAAGAGTTTTTTGTTTTGAGAAAAAAAAGATCAGTTGTGGCTCTATGTTATTTCTCCTTTATACTTTTTCATAATGGGTTAAATATTATACCCCACTCTATCCCAGCCTGGTCAAACCCAGCACCCTTTCATATCTGTTTTTTCCAGCAGATTGCCTGTCCTGCATAGTTGCTAATATTGTACCACTGGGAACTCACCAAAGCCAATGAACAAAACAACAGCACCAAAGAATTCCATACTGAATATCTACTCCCAGGTTCCCTCAGACTAACCATTTTAAAAACAGCAGCAAAAGATCTAAAAGACATCATACGCCAATACAGAGGATCGGTGGACTTGCTGCCTAAATATGCAGCAAAATGTTCACTTGATCATTAATTTCTCTTGGCCAGCAGTTCCCATTCATATTTCAACCGAATTATTTTCTTCAAAGATGTGAATAATTTTACATAGCTGCAGGTTTTTTTCCTGATGTCATAATGGAGATTATAGGAAACACCATTCTATTCACTCTTAATGTCAACTTTCAAACAACATGTGACTGGATCATAAATTATACAGTTTTCCTGGCCAGTCTCCAATCATCTGCAAACGTAAGTTCATGTGAATCTTTAATAGCCATATAACTTCTGGTTATCCATCACCATTCACAAACACTGCCTCCTAAACCATCAATGTGTCAACTTTAAAATTCTCATTCTTGTGCTTAACTCCCTCCTTAGCTCATCACTTCCCTTCGAGCCCTTTCTGGAACTCCACATTCCTCCATCACTCATGTCTTATTCAAGCCCAATTCACTTCAACCTAAAACTGACAGGAGTTCTGTCAAATACTGGGGTTCTAACTTCACTACCTAAGCCTCACCACCTCTCTCTCCATCATAATTTTTGGCCCAGTCAATTTTTGCCCAATTACATTCAGTGAAGCACTTGGGATCTTTTATTCCAATAAGCTTACAACATAAGTGTAAGGGTGCTTCCTTGTAATACCAATATTTAAAGGCGTACTAGCAGACTGATTCTCCCTCCCACCCCTTCTGTCCTGGATTCCTGCTGCAGGTCACTGACAAACCAAGGATTAAACCTGCTAACTTCCTAGTCTGCATAGCTCACTGGCAATAACAGCCAGACACTGATGAATTCTTCTAAGGAGCCACCAAAAGCGACACATTAATAAAAATTGATTGATGGTAGACTCCTTGCTACTTGTGTACGTCCAACTGTCAAAAAAACTTCACTGTTTTCTGTGGGTCTTCTCAGGAGTGAAGAGTTCATTGCAAGATCAGAATACCCATTCACAGAACTGGCAGTTCAGGTTGTAGTTGTTGGTTCTTGGAAGAAATTCTGTAGTTGTGCCAACTCTGGCCATACTGAAATATAGTATGCTTGGTGCAGGTGAGTCCTTAAATGCATGGTGTTACAGGTTTCAGCACTTGCTTCCATGTGGACCGGTCAGCTGAGTTTGTAAGGCTCTTTTGTTTTAAATGTCCATGTATGGTTTGTACTGACCACAATGTTATTTGCCCTGAGACAGTGCCTCATAGAAGATCTGCTGTAGTCAGCCATACAGGAGATATGGTCTCTGTATGGAAGTGTAATTTTGGAGGGTGGTCTCCAAACTGTTCAGGTGAGCACGACAGAAGAGCTTGTTGCTTGCAATTTAGCCCTGCCGTGCTGACTGTGCACAAGCAAGGTGAGCTTTTCTATTTACAAAAAAAAAACATCCAGATCGCAATGTCCAACATCCGTCCTCTGGGTGAAGGAAACAATAACCATTCCTTCCTCTACACTAGCAGGGAGAAATCCACCATTCACTAAGATGAAGATTTTACATACTTCCCCAATACCCGACCCCCAACCTCTGTACACGGTGCCGGGCCAAGCCTATCTGTAGTTCTGTTTCTCTGAAGGAGAGGACCAAACGGACGCTCGCTCACTCACTCGAAGAGAGACCAGGAGGAGCTCCGGCAGACGCAAAAAACCTCTTCAACATCACCCAGAAGGAGGTTAGCCCCCACTACCATCGGTAGCTTCACTCTCGGAACGTAATCCCATTCCGATCCATAACTCCCGCTGCTCCCATCCCCCCTTTTCACTCGATCCCCCCCCCGGTGGGGGAATAGGAAAGACCCGCCCACTTTCCTGTGCCACCACGCAGCCTGCCCCCTTCTTTGGGCGACTTCAGAGAACACCCCGCCCCCTTCCTCCTCAACACCACCACCATAAATACGGGCATCGCCGCCCCTCCCCCACGGTTAACACGGGCTGCCCTCCCCCCAATAACACGGGCAGCCCCGCCCCTGCCTAACCACCCCACCATTAACATGGTTTCAGAGAAGAAGGGTCTAGGCCCGAAACGTCAGCCTTCCTGTTCCTATGATGCTGTTTGGCCTGCTGTGTTCATCCAGCTCTACACCTTGTTATCCCACCATTAACACGGGCTGGTCCCCATGCTCAGCCCCGCCCCTATTAATACCCGCCGCCTCCCCGCCCCCCACCTTTTCCCCCCAGGGTCCGCGAGCGGCGGCGGTTAGATTTTGAAGGATGTTTTGAATGTGGTTGACAGTTTACCCGGCGCCCTCGCGCTCAGCTGATGAAGGGGCCATTGGAAATCATCCAGCTCGGCGCACCGTCAGTTGGCCACTCAATGAAACCTAAAAAGGGGGATAAATAATATGGCCCCAAATTGAGTCAGATTACTACAGGATACTTAACTTGGGTCATAACTGCATTTTCTCTGTTCCCTGAATTTGGGAAATTGGTGGTCATATTGGCCATTTGACCCTACTGCTCCAGGGAGGTCTGAATTTCCTCCTCCAACCCACGCAGTTCATTATGTCATGGCTGAATTTGCAAACCCTTGCCCCACGCATGGCGAACGGGCGTGGGAGTGGACCATACAACCCCCTGAGCCACTCTCTACCACTTATGGCTGATCCTCAGCTTCAAATCCACTTTACCACTAAATCCTAAAATCCAAGAGACCAAAATCTGTCCAACTCAGCCTTAAATACAGTTAATGATGGCGGTCCTGCAAACCCATCAGTAGAGCATTTGGAAGATGGTAGAAGGGTAAATGACCATGGGACATAGGGATTTAAGGTAAAAGGCTTGAGGTTTAATGGAGATTTAAATAAGAAGCCTTCACCCAGAGGGAGTTGGATGTATGGAACTCACTGCCTGAAAGGTTGGTAGAGGTGGACATGATCAGAACATTTAATAAGTATTTAGATGGACACATGAAATTTCATAACACATAAGGCTATGGGCCAAGTGCTGGCAAGTAGATAGGTGCTTGATTGATGGTGTGGACATGACAGTCTGAAGGGCCTCTTGCTGTGAGAACTCTGAAAAGTCACAATCCTTTGAAGGAATATATTTCCCATCATCCCTATCCTAAAGGACTAGCCCCGCCAGAGACTCCAGCCAGGAGAAACAAACTCTACCCTGTCAAGACCCTTCAGAATCCTGAACGTTTCAATGGGGTCACCAATCTTCCAAACCTCAGAGACTATAGTCACAATTTATTAGCCTGTCATCTCAGTATGCAAATCTTTGCTATACTTTAAGGGAAAAATATTTGTCCTTAAATATGGAAGCCAAAACTGCACACAGTACTCCAGATTTTTTCCTTCAATTTCCCATTCATACGATGGGACCCCAGCTATTCACAATATATATTAATGATTTGGATGAGGAAACAAGATGTAACATCTCAAAGTTTGCACACTATACCAAGTTGGGTGGGAGGGTGAACTGTGACAAGGATGCAGAGATTCTTCAGCATGATCAGAACAGGTTGGGTGAGTGGCAAATCAATGGCAGATACAATATAATTTGGATAAATGTGATGTTATTCACTTTGGAAGCAAAAACAACAAGGCAGATTACTACCTGAATGGCTGTGAATTGGGAGAGGGGAATGTGCAGCGGGACCTGGGTGTCTTTGTGCACCAGTCGCTGAAGATAAGCATGCAAGTGCAGCAGGTGGTAAAGAAGGCAAATGTGTGTTGGCCTTCATTGTGAGAGGTTTCGAGTACAGAGCAGGGATGAATTGTTGCAGTTATACAGGGCCTTGGTGAGGTTACACCTAGAATATTGTGCAGTTTTCGTCTCCTTTTCTGAGGAATGATGCTCTTGCTCTCGAGGGAGTGTAGCGAAGGTTTACCATGCAGATTCCAGGGATGGCAAGACTGACATATGAGGAGAGATTGACTAGGTTAGGATTGTTTTCACTGGAGTTCAGACAAATGACGGGGGATCTCATAGAGACTTATAAAATTCTAACAGGACTAGACAGGGTAGATGCAGGGAGGATGGTCCCGATGGTGGGTGTGTCCAGAACCAGGGGTCACAGTATGAGGATTTGGGGTAGTCCATTTAGGTCGGAGATGAGACATTTCTTCACCCAAAGAGTGGTGAGCCTGTGGAATTCATTAGCACAGGAAGTAATTGATGAACATTGAATGTATTCAAGAGGTGGCTAGATATAGCACTTGGGGTGAATAGGATCAAAGGTTATGGGGAGAAAGCAGGATTAGGCTATTGAAGTTGTAAACTTGCTTGCCGAGCCGGTGTGTTTGATTGCAGATGTTTCGTCACCTTGATAGGTAACATCGTCAGTGTGCTTCCAGTGAAGCATTGGTGTTCTGTCCCGCTTGTCATTTATATGCCTTGGCTTGGTGAGGTGGTTGGTATCACTTCGGTTCTGTTTTTTAGTGGTTTGTGTATCAGGTCCAGTTCAATGTGTTTGTTGATGGAGTTCCAGTTAGAATGCCAGGCCTCCAGAAATTCCCCAGCATGTCACTGTTTGGCTTGTGCTATTATGGATGTGTTGTCCCAGTCAAATTTATGTCTTTGTCCGTGTGTACTGGGACCAGTGAGAATTGGTTGTGTCTCTTGGTGGCTAGCTGGTGTTCGTGTATCCTTATTGTCAGTTTTCTTCCAGTTTGGCCTATTATTTAATGTTTCTCACAGTCCTTGCATGTTATTTTGTATATAACAATGGTTTTATTGCTTGTGGGTATGGGATCCTTTACGTTCGTCAGTAGCTGTCGCAGGGTGATTGTTGGTTTGTAGGCTACCTTGATATGTAGGGGTCTGAGTAGTCATCTCTGATATGTCTGTGATGTACGGTAGGGTGACTAACATGTCTGGCCGTGTTGTGTCTTCTTCTTGTGGTCTGTCGCGGAGGTAATGGCGGATTGTCCTTTTTGGATATGGATACAACATGGCCAGACACACTAGTTATCCTACTGTACATCAGAGACACATTAGAGATGACCACAAGACCACTCAGACCCCTAGGTATCAGGGTAGCCCACAAACCAACAATCACCCTGCAACAGCTACGGATGAATGTAAAGGATCCCATATCCACAACCAATAAAACTAATGCAACATACAAAATACTATGCAAGGACTGTGAGAAACATTACATAGGCCAAACTGGAAGAAAACTGAAAATAAGGATACACGAACACCAACTAGCCACCAAGAGACACAACTAATTGTCACTGGTCTCAATACACACGGACAAAGAAGGACATGAATTTGACTAGGGCAACACATCCATAATAACACAAGACTAACAGAGACATGCCAGGGAATTCCTGGAGGCCTGGCATTCCAACCGGAACTCCATCAACAAACACATTGAACTGGAGCCGATACACAAACCACTGAGAAACAGAACTGGAAGTAATGCCAACCACCCCACCAAACCAATGCATATAAATAAGAAGTGGGACAGAACACCAATGGTTCACTGGAGGCGCACTGAAGATGTTACCTAGCAGGGTGATGAAATGTCTCCAATCAAACACACCGGCTCACCAAGCAAGTCTACAACCTTATCCGCAACCCAAGCTATAAATCTTCTCAAAAACTTTAATTCGGCTATTGAGTAGGCCATTCAGCCAAAATTGTGATGAATGGCGGAGCAGGCTCAAATGTCCGAATGGCCTCCTCCTGCTCCTATCTTTTATGTTTCTATGTGGGTGTTTCTGGCTATACTAGCATTTATAGTCCATCCCTAACTGGCCGGGGGGCAGTTAAGAGTCACCATACTACTGTGCCGTCACCATACTACTGTGCATCTGGAGTCACATGTAGGCTAGATCAGATAATGCTGGCCGTTTCATTTTCCTAAAGAACAATAGCGAACCAAATGGGTTTTTATGACAATTGGCACTGGTTACATGGGCGCTATTTGTCTTGCTTTTTATTACAGATCTTTATTGAATTCAAATTTCACCACATACCATGGCAGGATTCAAACTCGTGTCTCAGAGCATTAACCTGGGGTTCTGGGTTGCTGGTCCAGTGTAATTATTGCTACATTACCATGTGGTCTCACCAAAGCCCTGAATCATTTATCAAAACTTCCCTATTTTTGTACACCAGCAAACCAGAGTTCGAGGTCAGTTAGAGATGGAAAACAAATTCTGGCCCTGCCAGCAACTCCAACATCCCATTATAAGAATAAAGAAATAAAAAATTACAACTGCTTCCACCAATTGGAATGATGTCAGGAATACTTGCTCATGCATACTGAGTGCACACTGTGGGATGCATTGGTCAGCTTTGATTAGTTATGTCTGATGTTATTAGTTTCTTAAATTTATTAAATGGATCATTATTAAAAAGCTGTCTTAGAATAAAGAGGAAACACCATGAATATGTTAACTGGTGTGCCAATAGCAGGACATCAGACAATTAAACCCTGAAATGAAGTTCTTTTGAGATTGAGAGAGAGATAGTAGGAACTGCAGATGCTGGAGAATCCGAGACAACAAGGTGCAGGGCTGGATGAACACAGCAGGCCAAGCAGCATCATAGGAGCAGAGAGGCTGACGTTTCGGGCCTAGACCCTTCATCAGAAAAGGGGGAGGGGAAGGGATTTTGAGATTGAATTGGATGTGTTAGAACAATGTTTGCTGATGACACCACTGTTGTAGGTTGGACCTCAAACTATGACGAGACAGAATGCAGGAAAGAGATAGCAGCATGGTGTAAAGTCAATAATCTCTCCATCAACGTCAACTAAACAAAGGAGCTGGTCATTGACTTCAGGAAGCGGA